CCTTTAAAATAAGCTTATTTTTAAAGTTATTTAAACTAAAGTATTTAAGGGCTATAAAGCATGTATTATAAAAATAAAAAATAAGTTAATTTACTATATATTAATAATAATTTGCTAAATTAACTAGGTATTTTAATAATTAATTAATAATATAAAAAATATTTAAATAAGTAAGCATGCTTGCATATTTAACTAAGTTAACTTTAAATTTTATTTTTTTAATTTATTAAAATATAATAGTACTAAAGTTTAAATAAAGCTTATTAAAAAAAAAATATTTTTAAAGGTTAAATTATTATATTTAAGTAAAATTAATTTATAATTATTTTAATATAAAAGTTTTAATATAACCACACCTTATGCTTTTTTTTATTTTAAATAATTTAAACTTTTAAAAATTATTTTATTTTATTAAAATGCTAGAGCTTGTACTTTATTACTAATTTTTTTTTAAAAATAATTATAATAACTTAGCCTTTTTTAATAAAAAGGTTTATAATAATAATATTATTTATATAAATAAAAAAAATTATAAACTTACTAATATAAAAGCACTTTTTTTTAAAAATTATAATAAAGCTAAATTTTTATAATATTATAGCTAAATTAAGTTATTAAAAATAAAAAAACTTTTAAAGTTTATAAATAATTTTAAGGGCTTTTAGTAACTTATCCTATTATTTATAATTATTTAAAAAGTAAAAATATACTACCTTTTTAAGAGTAATATTAAAAAACATGTTAATAGTATTTTTTTAATTAAAATTAAGGTTAAAAATAATTATAAATATTATAAAAGCTTTAAAAGCCCTTGCTAAAATAATTACTACTTAATTTTTTTTAAAAATTTTTAATTTTAAATTTTTATATATATAAATTTAGGCTTTAGCTTTAATAAAGTAGTTATTAATATTAAGTTTATAAATAAAAATTTATAGTAAAAAAATTAGCTTATTTATTTTTATTTTTTATTTATTTACTACTTTTTATATTTTTATTTTATAAAAAGCTTTTAGTTTAAGATTTATAGCCTCCAGGAACTTATTATAAAATAAATAATTTTTAAAATTATTTTAGTACTTAAAAAAAAAGTAAATTATTTTAATAAAGCTATTTTTTTACAGGGTTTTAATAAAAAGTAAAAAAAATAAATTAAATATAATTAAGGTTATTTAAATTATTTAAAAAAGTATTATTTAAATTTAAATTATATATATAATTATTAATATTATATTATTTGTGCCTGCGCCTAGATATTTTAAAAAAAAAGTTAAAATTATTAAAGTTTTACTTTTTAAGCGCGCTAAGCTTAAAGGCTAAAAAAAAAAAAAAAAAAAAAGCTAGGCGTGCTTATTTATTTTTTTTAAATAATTATTTATTTATTAAATTAATAAAAAAATATTAAG